TTCACTACTCCGGATCTCCACCACCAGCTCTGTGCCTCTTCCCCGACATCACCTTCCAGCCTCGCCGTCGGTATATCCATCGGGGGTCCCGGCGGAACGTCCATCTCGACGGCTCCAAAGGAATACCCTCCTTCTGGTCCACGACTAGCCGGCGGCTACCCAGGAATACCTGCCAAGCTGCCGACTCCAGCGTGTTAGCCCGGCTGGCTAGTCGGGCTAATGCTCCTGTCGCCAGGGACTTCCGCACTGCTAATTTTGGTCTTCTCAACATTCGCTCCCTCTCTGGTGAAGGACATCTCCTCCAAGATACCATCAGTGACCATAAGCTAGACTTTCTTTGTCTGAACGAAACATGGCAACAACCCAGCGATTTCTCACAACTCAATGACTGTACTCCTCCCGGATTTGTTTACCTCTCCAAACCCCGTGGGTCGGGCCGCGGCGGTGGTCTCGCGATACTCTATCGCGAGACTTGGAAGGTCCTTCCCGTAAACCTTCCTCCTCTCACCACTCTGGAATGCCTCGCCTGTCAACTCTCCAGCCCGACCCCCACAATAATTGTCACTGTTTATCGTCCCCCCAAGTTCAGCCCTGAGTTTTTAAATGAACTCTCTGCTCTTTTATCCCATCTGTCCGCCCTTTCCCCAAATGTAATTTTACTTGGTGATTTTAATATTCATATGGACAATATGGCCCTCCCCCTCAGCAAAGACTTCTCCTCATCTTTGGACAGCCTCAGTTTTCATCAATATGCCAATTTTCCCACTCACATTAAAGGTCACACCCTGGATTTAATCTGCTGCTCCGGCCTGACCCCCTCCAACTGTACAGCTGACCCGCTCCCTTTCACGGACCACTTCCTCATCTCCTTTTCTGTTCCCCTCCGTCTCTCCATCATCAAGTCACCACGTATCATTTCTTTTCGTAATATTAAGGACATTGATCTAGCCTCCCTGTCCTCCAGTTTTGCCACCTTGACCCCTAATTTGTCCTCTACTCCCGATGATCTTGTCATTCAGTACAATAACGGTCTGGTTTCTATCCTTAATTCATTTGCTCCCATCAAATCCCGCTCTGTATATTTTACTCGGTCTGCTCCATGGTTCACCCCTGCCCTACGCTCCTTGAAAGCTACCAACCGGAGGCTTGAAAGACTCTACAAGAAAACCGGTCTCACCATCCATAAAGACTTATATTCTGCTCAGATTTCTCTCTACAAGGACTCCATCTCCCATGCCAAATCTCAGTATTACTCCGGTCTCATCTCGTCCAACTCCAGCAACACTAAAACATTATTTTCCATCATGAACAGCATTTTTCAGCCTCCCGACTCCTTACCCATCCATCTTTACTCTTCAGAAACCTGTAACTCTCTCCTTCAGTTTTTTAATGATAAGGTCAATAGAATCCATCTCTCTTTACCTCATTCCTCCCCTCCCTCTCCTGATTTATTTGAACCCACCATTCAGTTCTCCTCCTTTGAACTTCCCCATCCCTCAGAAAAAGATTACATCACCAAATCCAAACCTTCCACCTGTCAACTGAACCCTATTCCAACTGTTTTAGTTAAATCGTGCCTTTCTTCTCTGCTCCCTTTTATAACAGCCATTATTCATTCCTCACTATCCTCTGGTACGGTCCCCTCCCTATTCAAATCCGCTTCAGTCAGCCCTATTCTAAAAAAACCTGGTTTAGATCCCAATGATTTCAATAACCTCCGTCCCATTTCCCATCTTCCCTTCATTTCCAAAGTCCTTGAGAAAACTGTTGCATCTCAGCTCCATTCACATCTCACCCACAATAACCTTTATGAACAGTTTCAGTCTGGCTTCCGTCCCCACCACAGCACAGAAACAGCTCTCATCAAGATCACTAACGACCTACTCATTGCTGCTGATTCTGGTTTAATCTCTATTCTCATTCTCCTCGATCTGAGTGCGGCCTTTGACACCATTTCTCATCCCATCCTCCTTAATAGACTCTCTTCCTTAGGCATCACTCACACCCCCCTCCGCTGGTTTCAATCTTACCTTACTGGCCGCACTCAGTTCATCCAGTTAAAATCCTTTACCTCAGAACCCTCCCCAGTCAAGTCAGGTGTGCCCCAGGGCTCTGTCCTGGGGCCCCTCCTCTTCATAGTATATCTCCTCCCTATCGGCAAAATCTTACGCAAATTTAATATCCAGTTTCACTGCTTTGCAGATGACACCCAGCTCTACATTTCCAGTAAGCCCAACTCAACTCTCCCACCATCCTCCCTTACACTCTGCCTCTCTGAAATAAAATCATGGTTCACCTCTAATTTCCTCAAACTCAACGGCAATAAAACTGAACTTCTTCTAGTTGGCACTAACTCCACCCTCTCAACATCTGACAGCTTTTCTTTAACTATTGACAGCGCCATAGTCTCCCCCTCACCTCACGTCAAGAGTCTGGGTGTCATTCTCGACAGCTCACTTTCTTTTCAGGCTCACATTAATAACTTAATTCGGTCAGCATACTTCCATCTACGTTCCATAAACCGTCTCCGTCCCTCACTGACCCCTCACACTGCCGCCATTCTCGTCCACAGCCTCGTCGACTATTGCAATTCCCTTCTTTATGGTCTCCCCAACAAACTCCTTCATAAACTGCAACTGGTCCAGAATTCAGCAGCCCGTATTATCACCAGAACCCCTTCCTTTCACCACATCACGCCAGTTCTCCAGCAGCTTCACTGGCTCCCAGTTAAATCCAGGTCCATCTTCAAAATTCTCCTTCATACTTTCAAAGCAATCCACAACCTCTCTCCTCCATACAGGTGCTGGCCAGTAAATTAGAATATCATCAAAAGGTTGAAAATATTTCAGTAATTCCATTCAAAACGTGAAACTTGTACATTATATTCATGCAATGCACACAGACCAATGTATTTCCAATGTTCATTACATTTAAAATTTGATATTCATAAGTGACAACTAATGAAAACTCCAAATTTGGTATCTCAAAAAATTAGAATATTCTGAAAAGGCTGAATATAGAAGACACCTGCTGCCACTCTAATCAGCTGATTTACTCAAAACACCTGCAAAGGCCTTTAAAAGGTCCCTCAGTCTTGTTTTGAAGGCACCACAATCATGGGGAAGACTTCTGACTTAACAGCTGTCCAAAAGACAATCATTGACACCTTGCACAAGGAGGGCAAGACACAAAAGGTGATTGCTAAAGAAGCTGGCTGTTCGCAGAGCTCTGTGTCCAAGCACATTAACAGACAGGCGAAGGGACGGAAAAAATGTGGTAGAAAAAAGTGTACAAGCTCTAGGGATAACCGCACCCTGCAGAGAATTGTGACGACAAACCCATTCAAAAATGTGGGGGAGATCCACAAAGAGTGGACTGCAGCTGGAGTCAGCGCTTCAAGAACCACCACGAGGAGACTCATGAAAGACATGGGATTCAGGTGTCGCATTCCGTGTGTCAAGCCACTCTTGAACAAGAAACAGCGCAAGAAGCGTCTCGCCTGGGCCAAGGACAAAAAGGACTGGACTGATGCTGAGTGGTCCAAAGTTATGTTTTCTGATGAAAGCAAGTTCTGCATTTCCTTTGGAAATCAAGGACCCAGAGTCTGGAGGAAGAGCGGAGAAGCACAGAATCCACGTTGCATGAGGTCCAGTGTAAAGTTTCCACCGTCAGTGATGGTGTGGGGTGCCATGTCATCTGCCGGTGTTGGCCCACTCTGTTTCCTGAGGTCCAGGGTCAATGCAGCCGTCTACCAGGAAGTTTTAGAGCACTTCATGCTTCCTGCTGCTGACCAACTTTATGGGGATGCAGACTTCACCTTTCAACAGGACTTGGCACCTGCACACAGTGCCAAAACCACCAGCACCTGGTTCAAGGACCATGGTATCCCTGTCCTTGATTGGCCAGCAAACTCGCCTGACCTTAACCCCATAGAAAATCTATGGGGTATTGTGAAGCGGAGGATGCAATACGCTAGACCCAACAATGCAGAGGAGCTGAAGACGACTATCAGAGCAACCTGGGCTCTCATAACACCTGAGCAGTGCCACAGACTGATCGAGTCCATGCCACGCCGCATTACTGCAGTTATTGAGGCAAAAGGAGCCCCGACTAAGTATTGAGTGCTATACATGCACATTCTTTTCATGTTCATTCTTTTCAGTTGGCCAACATTAGAGAAACAAACATTTTTTCATTGGCCTTTAGAATATTCTAATTTTCTGAGATACCAGATTTGATGTTTTCATTGGTTGTCACCTATAAATATCAAATTTAAATGTAATGAACATTGGAAATACATTGGTCTGTGTGCATTGCATGAATATAATGTACAAGTTTCACGTTTTGAATGGAATTACTGAAATATTTTCAACCTTTTGATGATATTCTAATTTACTGGCCAGCACCTGTATATCTCAGACCTTATAAGTATTCACACCCCGTCCCGTTCACTCAGATCTTCTTCTTCCATCCATCTTGCGGTTCCTTCTGCCCGTCTCGCTACCATGGGGAGCAGAGCTTTCAGCCGCTCTGCTCCTCGACTCTGGAACTCACTTCCCCCAGACATCAGGAACGTCGAAAGTTTTACCATTTTCAAAACAAAACTCAAAACACATATGTTTAAATCTGCCTACAACCTCTGATTTTATTGAACTGTTTCTCTCTTTGTTTTTTCTTCTTTGGGTTTTATTATTGTTTTATTGTATTTTATTACGTGTTTTGTGTAAAGTGACCTTGGGTGTCCTGAAAGGCGCTTTTAAATAAAATGTATTATTATTATTATTATTATTTTTCCTCTTCACATTTCATTTGATATTTTTATCTCAACATTTTTCTTCACGTTTTAATTTTAACCTCCTTCCTGTATTGATTTCTGAGTAATCCTAATGAATTACCAAGTGTTTCAAATCAAGTTTTACAAAACTTCACCTACCTAGTAGGTATGACTGTTGATAGTCTGCTTTTCAAACACATCTTGAGATAAAACAGACACAAACAGCTTCCGTGTGAAACCGTGGGGACGTTTTTTATTGGGAATGAAATGTACATTAGGACATTCTTAATTTAATGATGCTTGTTTTGTTGTTGTATGTGTTGGGGGAGGGGCATCTCAAACAAATATGTAACATGACAGCAAACGATGATAAAACACACTCTCTTCTTGTGTTGACTCAGTAGTATGTCTCCTGCTCCACCCAACCTACAAACCAAAAGAGACACGTCGGGTCAGATGGGTTCAGAGAAAACTAACAAGATGAGCAAATTTAGAGAAGTATAATTTCTTAACCTCAGACTACGGGATAATATCATCATTCAAACTTGCCCACAAATTCAAAAAATCACCCTAAATTAGGTAGAACTTCCATGATGATGAGGACCATGCCTTCTGATGACATCATCATTAAAATGTGAATGTTTTTATCTCCCCCAAAGGAAAATGACTAAAACCTTCCAGTGGCGCTGACCTCAGAGACTTGGTTATTAGATGTAATCAAATAAACTGAAGGATGTGACTTCTGCGAGGTCACACTGAGCTCACGGCTACGTTTTATTTATACATTGAGGTTAGCTGTTTTTTATTAAGGGCATAGGTTGGCCATTTTGAAGTGTGTCAGACATATTTCTTCAAAGCAAATAAATAAAAACATAATAGATCAACGTTATAAAAGGGTACACCAGTGGTTGTCTCCCTACAGATCGTAACTAAACATTCAAATCCTGGGGAAGAGCCTGGTATGGAGTTTTCAAATTAAAGTTGGTCTTAAAAATTGCAAATGTTGTCTGGCTTTAAGAATAATACTATATTGTATCGCATTCTCTGTATTGTGATAATTATCGCATTGTCTCCTCTGTATTGTGATAATTATCATATTGTCTCCTCTGTATTGTGATAATTATCGTATTGTCTCCTCTGTATTGTGATAATTATCATATTGTCTCCTCTGTATTGTGATAATTATCATATTGTCTCCTCTGTATTGTGATAATTATCGTATTGTCTCCTCTGTATTGTGATAATTATCATATTGTCTCCTCTGTATTGTGATAATTATCGTATTGTCTCCTCTGTATTGTGATAATTATCATATTGTCTCCTCTGTATTGTGATAATTATCATATTGCGTCTTCTGTATTGTGATAATTATCGCATTGTCTCCTCTGTATTGTGATAATTATCGCATTGTTTCCTCTGTATATTGATAATTATCGTATTGTCTCCTCTGTATTGTGATAATTATCGCATTGTCTCCTCTGTATTGTGATAATTATTGTATTGTCTCCTCTGTATTGTGATAATTATCGCATTGTCTCCTCTGTATTGTGATAATTATCGTATTGTCTCCTCTGTATTGTGATAATTATCGTATTGCGTCTTCTGTATTGTGATGATTATTGTATTGTCTCCTCTGTATTGTGATAATTATCGTATTGTCTCCTCTGTATTGTGATAATTATCATATTGCGTCTTCTGTATTGTGATAATTATCGCATTGTCTCCTCTGTATTGTGATATTTATCGTATTGTCTCCTCTGTATTGTGATAATTATCGCATTGTCTCCTCTGTATTGTGATAATTATCGTATTGTCTCCTCTGTATTGTGATAATTATCACATTGTCTCCTCTGTATTGTGATAATTATCGTATTGTCTCCTCTGTATTGTGATAATTATCGTATTGCGTCTTCTGTATTGTGATAATTATCGTATTGTTTAATCTGTATTGTGATAATTATCGCATTTGTCTCCTCTGTATTGTTATAATAATTGTAATGCATCCTCTGTATTGTGATAATTATCGCATTGTCTCCTCTGTATTGTGATAATTATCGTATTGTCTCCTCTGTATTGTGATAATTATCGCATTGTCTCCTCTGTATTGTGATAATTATCGTATTGTCTCCTCTGTATTGTGATAATTATCGCATTGTCTCCTCTGTATTGTGATAATTATCACATTGTCTCCTCTGTATTGTGATAATTATCGTATTGTCTCCTCTGTATTGTGATAATTATCGTATTGCGTCTTCTGTATTGTGATAATTATCGTATTGTTTAATCTGTATTGTGATAATTATCGCATTTGTCTCCTCTGTATTGTTATAATAATTGTAATGCATCCTCTGTATTGTGATAATTATCGCATTGTCTCCTCTGTATTGTGATAATTATCGTATTGTCTCCTCTGTATTGTGATAATTATCGCATTGTCTCCTCTGTATTGTGATAATTATCGTATTGTCTCCTCTGTATTGTGATAATTATCGCATTGTCTCCTCTGTATTGTGATAATTATCGTATTGCGTCTTCTGTATTGTGATAATTATCGTATTGTCTCCTCTGTATTGTGATAATTATCGCATTTGTCTCCTCTGTATTGTTATAATTATTGTAATGCATCCTCTGTATTGTGATAATTATCATATTGTCTCTTCTGTATTGTCATAATTATTGTATTGTCAGTCCTGTGTTGTGATAATTATCGTATCGACTTCTTTGTATCGTATTGTGTTTGTATTGTGAAATTATCATATGGTCTCATTTGCATTGGGATAATTATTGTATTGTGTCATTTGCACTGGGATAATTATCGTATTGTCTTGTTTGTATTGTGGCATTACTCGTATTGTCTGTCCTTTATTGTGATAATCATCGTAATGTCTACTCACTCTTTCAGTGTTTGGGGCAACTTAAGGATTGGACGCAATCAAACTTCCTCCAGTTAAACAAAGACAAGACTGAAGTTATTGTCTTTGGAAATAAGAAGGATAGGATGGAGGTTATTTCTGAGCTTGGCTCCAGAGGAATAAAGACAAAGACTCAGGTTAGAAATCTTGGTGTCATAACTGATTCCGACCTGAGCTTCACTGGTCACATTAAGGCTATAACTAGATCAGCGTTTTATCATCTGCATTAAACAGCACGACTCAGAGGTCTCATGTCCAGAAAAGACCTAGAGAAACTCATTCATGTGTTCAACTCTAGCAGGCTGGAATATTGCAATGGTCTTTTGACTGGTCTTCCCAAAAAAGCTGTGAAACAACTGCAGCTTATTCAGAATGCTGCTGCTAGAGTCTTAACAAGAACCAAGAGAACCGAGCACATCACTCCTGTTCTTAGATCTCTACACTGGTTACCAGTAAACTACAGAATCCATTTCAAAGTGCTTCTACTAGTTTATAAATCACTCAATGACATGTGGCCAGAATACATGTCGGATGTGCTTCCTGTATATACACCTAGCAGCTCTAAGATCCTTAGGAAACAATCAGCTGGTAGAACCTCGGGTCAGAACCAAACATGGTGAAGCTGCTTTTAGCTACTATGCTGCTCACAGATGGAATCAGCTTCCTCATAACCTCAAATCTGCCCCATCTCTAGAAACTTTTAAATCAAAGTTGAAAACCTTCATGTTTTCATCACCCTTTGAATAAATGTTCTTATGCTGCACCTTTTGCACTGTATTTGCTCACCCTGTAACCTTAACTTTGTTTCTTTATAATTTTTAAATTGTATTTTTGTCACATTGAGTTAATGTTATTGACTGCTAAAGGAAAGCACATGGACTTGCCTCTGTGTATGAAATGTGCTGCATAAATAAAGTGGCCTTGCCTACTCTGTATTGTGATAATTATTGTATCGTCTCATCTGTATTATGGGATTAATCATATTGTCTGTCCTGTATTGTAATATATGACACATTGCCAGATTCTTGCCAATCTAGAGAAGACAACTATCGTGCATGTTTTAGATATTTCTCTGCTCCCACACTCGCGGTTTGTATCAACAGGAGATTAACAGGCTCCTGTACAACTTGTACCTCGTAATCAGGTGCTGGAGCAGAAAAATATTTTAAAAAATTAAGGACGGTGGCCCTGAAGGGCCAGGGTTGGACATCAACAGTTTATATTGTGTGTAAAGTCACTCAGCCCAGGTTTGCCCGAGGCCTCTGACCGACTCTGTAATCCTTCCCAGACAGCAGACGCTGTTAGAAAACCCACGAGCTGAAGTTGTTTTCTCCCCCGTCTGACACTAACGTGTTATTCACCATGGATGGGCATGTTCACTGATCTGTGCTGTGGGGCTCAGATGCAGCACACACACACACACACACACACACACACACACACACACACACACACACACACACACACACACACACACACACACACACACGCGCACGCACGCACGCACGCACGCACGCACACACACACACACACACACACACACACACACACACACACACAGCTGAATCACAGCACAGCCTGCATACAGGTTCTGCTCAGCCTCCAGGGCTGGAACAAGACTTTGGCAATGGCAGGGTTGAGGGTTCAACTCTCGCTGAGCCCTGCCATCCGACACATTTCATTGGTCTGTGCAACTAAACACCTGTTATTTCTTTTTATACACCTCCTTTTATGTCTAAATGTATTAAAATCAGACATAAATATTTAAAATTTGCAAAACTGCAAAATGTTGACTTTTTTTGTAGATAAACAATGAAATTAGCCTAAATGATGGGACATTTTTTTACTTAAAGGTGAACATTTTCTCTAAATGACCCCTAAACACACGTTTCAAACAGAAATATAAGGTTCTTACCGCCTGGGTTGCGTCTGAGGATGTATCTTCTGACTTCATCATAAACGAAGATGAGGAGGGAGTAGGGGAAGGCGCAGAACCACCAGGATGGCCTGAAGTATTGTTGGAAAGGAGAGAGAGAATTACAGCTGGTTGGTGACAAAAACAGACCAAGAGCACTCGTATGGAGGCCTGTTAGGCTGAGATGGGAATCTACACCAGGAGTTTTAGGCCATTAGGCCTATAAAAAGGTTGTCTAAAAGCACATCAGAGATTTGTAATGAAATCAGAGTTTTTGAGAATTTAAGAAAATGTTCACATGGGAGGCTAACTCTGCATGTATCTGTGACTTAAAATGAATTTCAGCCCGATCTAACACTCACAGAGGAAGGTGAGTGTGGAAAAGCAGGAACAGATGAGAGGGAAGCGAGGAAGAAATAAGAGAGTAACACTTGATATAATGAGCTTGGTGCAACTTCATCGTTTTCTATTTTTTTTAATCCAGTTTGGCAAAGACTCTCGTGAGAACAGAGGCTCTTCTGCTGTGTCCTGCCTCTGAAGTGCAAATTATTTGTGCCCCCAAAAAAACTTATTAAACTTCTTTTTTTAAACAAGCAAAAAAAGCAGATGGGATTTAGAATTTCAAAGCCCTTCCTGGAAGCGGACTACACAAATACGTCTGCACAGTGGACTCTAAGTGTGCATGGTCTGGTTTACTTACTTGAGCGGGTACATTCTGAGGGCAACGTCCATGCCCGGGCAGTATGACAGGAAAGCAGCAAGAGCCGTCTCCTCAAAGAGCCCAAAGATGAGGATTCGGTTCCTGTTGGAAGGAAAATTTAGATTAAAAGTCCAGAAATGGCAAATGAACTCGGAAAAACAAAGACAATACGGTTTAATGCAAAAGAGGTGTGAGAAAGAAAAAAAAAATCTAATGTTAATGTTGCTTTCAGTGGTTCATCAGGGTCACCACAGTAACCAGCAGTGGCTAATTAAAGCAACACAGTTTTGAAGCAACTATTGCTTTCAAACTGGTTTCAGTGGTTCTTGAGCCATAAACTTCACACTGGACAGCACTCTGCTGCCCTCTGCTGACCAGAAACTACTCTCAACAGTTCTGTGGTCCGGGTAGGCAGTTTTGTCGGAGGTCCCTACCTGCTTTACAGCAATTGCTGTTTACTCTGCTGGTAGCAAATACAAAGGCTAGCTGTTTGCTTTTTCAGTTTTCAGACCGTTAATAAAAAGCACATGAAGAAGAACAACTGCCTTTTTGTCGGCATAATGGAAGGGCCATGAAGTAAAAAAAGGTCTTTGGAGGCAAAGCAAAGAGCTGAAACCAGTGTGAACATTGATGCAGCCTGCACTAGTTTGAGGGGACTACAGGAGGATATGAAATCACAGACTGATGGTGACCTGGCTTTGTTGCTACTGGACTTGGAAGTAATAATATGTTTTTGTTCAACAGTGCGGGTCTTTTTACTTCGTAACTTGTTTCATACCAGTTGGCTCACGTTAGCACGTTGGTTGTGCTAGCAACAGCAGGCTGAGTTGTAATTTCACTTTCACCCACTATAGGGGGAAGTCACGTACTTCATTCCTTGCTGCACGATGGAGTTCCTCCTGGTCTTGCAGATGATCAGATCAGCCCACTGCACGATGACAATACTGGTGAAGAACGCCGTGTGGCAGGTGAACTCTACAATCTTTCTCCGCTCGTATGTCTGGATCAGGAAAAGAAATAGAAGCGATCATCTCCCATCGCTAAAATTGGAAATAAAAAATGAGTTGAAGTTGCAGCGGGAGCTTTACTGACCCACTGCTGTCCGTAGCTGTCTTCCAGGTCATTTACGAGTTTGTCATCCCACAGGACTCGGACTCCAATCAGGTCCATGGGGAGGAAACCATTTTCAGCCAGGATCACAAAGTATGAGAAGAAGCCCGCCATAGCCTGCATCATACCTGACCAGAGAGGAACAACGTCGATGAGCTTCCGGAACACGGAGAAACACGCAGGGCTGATTTGTGTTTTTGGTACGTACCGATTTGTCCGTAAGCCATGCTGATGAGCCTCTCGTTCACAAGTTTGTCGGTCTGAGGGTTTCGGGGCTGTCTCTTCATGATGTCGCTCTCAGCTGCTTCGTAGGCCAGGGAGATGGCAGGAACCATGTCGGTTCCCAGGTCGATACACAGGATGGTGACGGTTCCCAGAGGCAGAGGGATGTTGGCGATGATGAAGAGGAGGAAGGGTGAGATCTCTGGGATGTTGCTGGTCAGGGTGTAGGCGATGGATTTCTTCAAGTTGTCAAAGATCAGACGACCTGATGAGAAGAAATTCAGGTTTTTAAGGTGTTAATCAAACATTCAGGGGATAAAATGACTCCATTTCCACATCCTTCCAGTCACCTTCTTCCACTCCGGTGACGATGGAGGCAAAGTTGTCGTCCAGGAGGATCATGTCAGCAGCCTGTTTGGACACGTCGGACCCAGCGATCCCCATGGCAACGCCGATGTCGGCCTTCTTTAAGGCTGGGGAGTCGTTCACACCATCACCTGTCACAGCCACGATGGCTCCCTGGACAGAAGGACGAGGGGTATCAGGGTAGAAGTTGGGTTTGTGAAACCTTCTGTCTGATAATGCTCACCTGTCTCTGACAACCTTCCACGATGATCAGCTTCTGCTGAGGGGAGGTTCTGGCGAAGACGATCTCCGTGTGGTGCTTCAAGATGTCGTCCAGCTGCTCTGTGGTCATCTCTTTGAGCTCACCTCCGTGGACGACGCAGGCCTTGGCGTCCCTGATCAGAACATCACAGAAGTGATCATGATGCCGAAAGGTAAATGTCTGGGTTGCTGATTATTAGCGTGATCTGAGGAGGAGAGGTCCGCTGCAGGCATCCACAGAAACACTAAACACCAAGTTTAACGCAGAACTCAATTTAATCAATAGCAACGATTTGGGAGGACAAGTTTCCATGAAGATTAACAAAATAAAATCAACCCGAGCAAATCCTAATTCTCATTGGAGCAGAGAGAAAGAGAGCTAGCATTAGCATCACTTTCAGCTAGCTGTTGCTCATGAAATCACATTAGTAGAGGAGAGACGTGAGTTTATTTATGGCATAGGGAGCGTAAGTCACGCCCATCTACTTCCGGACCGTGGGACCCTGGAAGAATGAAAAAAAGAACGCAAGTCAAACGGGCTAAAAGCGCTATTTTCTAATTCCGCTTGTTATGTGCCTCGGATTACACATATGATGTCCGTGAATTTTAAAGACACATTTTGATACTAAGTACACGCTTATTTTCGAACAGGGGGAACGGTATTTTAGGTTTTGTGTGAAAATGAGTCCAGGACGCTTCACGAAAGTGACGTCATCGAACCAGACAGGGAGAAAACTGAGGGAAAAGGGCTGTAAGTTCAGCAAACTTCCCACAGGAGGAAAGAACCACCATAAATCTGGTCATGTGGTAAGTAGCAGCTACGCTAGGGGGGAGGAGCTTATGTGGTGACGTCACATATGCAACGTGCCGATTTCTGGTGTGTAGTCATGCTAATTACGAACTTTTACAAGCTGATAAACCTCAAAGTACGAGACTGGCGTGGTCGAAACACCCATCATTACTTTTCATTTAAATTGAAGTACAACACGTGTGTGATCCTGGGCGTGAGGCAAAGCGGGTTAGACAATAGCGTTTTTAACCCCGTTGACGTGCATTCATTTTTTCGTTCTTCCGGGGACCCGTGAGCCGACCGGAAAGGGAGGAGACTTCTGCTCCCTATAGCTGCAGAATGAGATGGCCTGGTGTAACAAAAGGAAACTATTGATTATTCGAGATTAGTAAGGCCCAATAAACATGAGAATCAAACAATTTTTAAAAGTAATTAGTCATTCCTAAATGTCAACATTAAACATTAAAATGGTTTCTAAAATTAAATGCTTTAAAACTCCAATTTTATTATTTTTCCTATATTAAAACCAAGTGTTTGTGACAAGTGGATGGTCAAAAATGAGAAAAATAATAAAATATAATGCTAATAAATGTTAATAATTTATGCAATAAAAAGGAAATATATTTTAAATCTATTTTCATATGTGTCGAGTTTTTATTTGACTGAATTTGGCAACATTTTTGAAACAGTCAGATTTTTAAGCAGAATTAAAATCTCAAAATGTCATGAAGAACTCAAACGCTCTGCTGGATTTTTGTGAAAAAATGATGTAAATTTTTCAATATTTATGTATCAAACTGTTTAAACCTTATTAGTCATCCATTTAAGCGCCTCGTGAGTTTTATCTTGGGAGGCGCTATATAACATTTTCTTTCTTCTTCAGGGAAAATCACATTTAAAATTTGGTTACATCATGAAATTTGAAATGAAGAAAAAATGAAATGAAAAACGTTTTTCAGCTCAAGAGTATCTGCTTAATAAAAAACAAGAAAACGTTGTAAAAGACTGGAATCATAAAGCACCAAAGCCTCACCTGGGGTTGACCTCTGACACTGGAAGATTCAAGCGTGCTGCGATGTCCTCAACGGTTTCGTTGCCTTCAGAGATGATCCCCACACCTTTGGCGATAGCTTTAGCTGTGATTGGATGGTCACCAGTGACCATGATGACCTGAGAAGAAGGATTAGACAAAAACTCGTGTCTCATCAAGTTCCTGCGTTTGTTCTGGTTTGTTCAGGGTTTACAAACTCACTTTGATTCCAGCGCTCCTGCATTTGCCCACTGCGTCGGGCACGGCGGCACGAGGAGGGTCGATCATGGCCATGAGGCCAATGAAGCACAGATTCTCGGTGGGGAAGTTCACCTCGTCTGTGTCGAAAGCAAAGCCTTCTGGGAACTGGTCATCGGGCAGGTGGAACTGGCAGAAACCTGATAGGGGAAAGGAAGAAAAATGTTTGTCAGTTTTAAATGTTTATAAATGCTTTTCTAAGAGAAGGAAGGTAAATTACCCAACACTCTCTCTCCAAGTCCCCCCAGCTCCACGTAGGCGTTCTGGAACGAGTCCTTCATCTCGTCATCCAGATTCTGCTCTTTGCCCTGGAGCACGATGGTGGAGCAGCGGTCCAAAATCCTCTCAGGGGCTCCTTTCATCACCAGTATGTGTTTGCTTTCTCCAGGAGTGGTGTTCTTATGGATGGAGAGCTGTTGACCAGGAGAAAGAAATCAGAGATTGGTTCTGTCTTTGGTTACCACTACGACTAGAAGTGGTAAATTCCGGTCCTCTAGGTCTGCTACCCAACACCAGCCTAACAAACAAAAGTATGTGTGTGAAGGTTTAAACCAACACTTTTGACTAAAACAGAAGTAGCCTATCAAAATAAAACTGGCATGAGATCTCCTGTCAAACAGCTCTGAGTCACCTTTGATGGTGGGATCGTGTGAGTTTGTTCAAACATGGGTCATTTATTAATGTGTGTGACTCACACAAGTCACGTTCAAAGGTACACGGAGGTGTTAGATAGGGGATCTCTTCACCCAACTTTTATTTTGGTAAGCTCCTTTTATTCAACTGATTACTCGTCAGCTAAATATAAACCTTTTTCAACATTTAGATTTAACTTGATATATTTAGATTTCATTCTAAATGTTTGTAGTTACACATTTGGAATTTATTCAAATATTCAGAATAATTATCAAATATTTAAATTTGATTCAAATATTTAGATTTAAAGTTAAATGTTTATATTTAATTCTAAATATTTATGGGTTCGCATTTAGAATTTATTCAGATATTCAGATGTATCATCATACATTTGAATGGGATTCAAATATTTAGATGTAATGTTATATATTTAGATTTAATTTAAACGTTTAGGTTTAAATATGTGTAGATTTAATGAAATAAATTTTTTAAATTAATTTAGATTTAAATGAAATAGAAAATTTTAACTTTAACTTTGGTAACTAATTGATACATATATTTAATTTTAGCTTTATTCATTTAGATTAGATTCAAATATTAGGGTCAAACTTTATATGTTAAACTGACTGATTATTTAGGACAAACTTTATATTTAATTTGATTTTTTTAAATCTACTCAATATATTTAGGTTGACTATATTTACATTTGATTTAAAATATTAAGATGTGACTAAATATTTACTTTTTATTGTAAATATTTTTGGTTTAACTAAATATTTATAACTGACGAATTGTAAATAGTGGGTGGGGAGAGGGAGGTCTGGGCCTCTCGACTTAGGCTACTGCCCCCGCGACCCGACTCCGGATAAGCCGATGAAAATGGATGGATGGATAGAAATTGTAAATATTTAGATGCAACTTAATGTATTTGGATGTAAATCTAAATGTTTAAACTATTTAGCCTCCAGAGACCAGAATTTGTAATTTGGTGTGATTTAAAAGAAAAACACCGTCTTAGCTATTACAGACTAGTTGACTCGCATAAACAAGAACAAAATTATACTTCGATAAAATTTTTTAAATACAAATGTTAACTAATTTCCTAAAAAAAAAGAAAAGAAAGAAAATTTAAAGTTTTTAAACTTAAAGTCATGTTAGACCGTCTCTAAATGATTAAAAAGGTCTAAGTTGAAGAGAAGAAAATATCTGTAGTGAAAGAAGCCAATGTCCTCATATGTGGACGCAGGGACTCAGGAGGTTAAAGCTAAATGTAGAGAAACACAGCAGCTACTTTTTCATTATATTACTCCATTACCTCAGGATCTCCATATAAATACCTGAAAAAGAATCAGTGAGTGATTGTGCAGAAGTGGAGAACATCTAAGAGAACATCTAGGTGCTGCAGGATTGTGGTCCTGGAGGACCAGGATGTGGGTTGAGTATTCACCTGGTATTTATTGGTGGAGTTGAATGGAATCTCAGCAACCTTGGGGTATTTTTCTCTCATGTCCTTGACGGGCCCGCAGCAAAGCTCAATACACTTGAGCAAGGCAGCTTCTGAGGCATCACCAGCCACATCTCTCTGTGAGGAGGGAAAACAGCCAATTAGAGCCTAACACCCTCGATGCAGTATGAGAAAATGCAGCATATTTTATTTAATCCATACATTTAATTAGCCAGTGAGCCTGAAATGCCAGCTTGCACTGCAGCCTCCGGTATATAATTATGGCGAGTGCTTTTGATACAGATTTGTTGTACAGTTTGGCTTCAGTTTTGGTTTTTTAGGATCCAAAAAGCTTCTTGCCAAGTCGTAAAGCTGCACCACCTCCCACGCATTCGCACGGCTCCAGTCTATGATCAAACCCAACACCACGACTCATTAGAGAATGTTTCTGTTCACCTTCAGGATGGGAATGTTGCTCTGCTCAGCCAGGAAGACGGCCCGGTTACAGAGTCCGGCGATCCTGGCCAGAGCCGCCCAGGTGGCCGAGCTCCTGTCAAACGAGGTGCCGCTCTGGTTCTCTGTGGTGTCGGCCTCGTGGATCTGGTTGTCGAACCACATGTGGGCCACGGTCATCCTGTTCTGAGTAAGGGTGCCGGTCTTGTCGGAGCAGATGGTGGAGGTGGAGCCCAGCGTCTCCACGGCTTCCAGGTTCTTCACCAGGCAGTTCTTCTTGGCCATTCGCTTGGCGGTCAGGGTCAGACACACCTGGAGAGAGAAGCACTCGGGTCAGTTCAGACTCCAGTGGTTTCTGGAGGCTTCGGGAGGTGTGGAACAGCCAGACTCACAGTGACAGTAGCCAGGAGACCTTCTGGTACGTTGGCCACGATGATACCGATGAGGAAGATGACGGCCTCTAGCCATCCATAACCAAGGATGAGGGACAGGATGAAGAAACTAACACCCAGGAAGACGGCCACGCCGGTGATGATGTGGATGAAATGCTCGATCTCGATGGCAATGGGAGTTTTCCCTCCTTCAAGACTGGAAGCCAGGGTGGCGATGCGACCCATAACTGTGTGGTCTCCAGTGTTGATGACGATTCCTCTGGCAGTTCCTGGAAAAATGTCCCCGTTTGAACTGAATCCCACATAAAAACCTATAACAAGGGTTTTCTCGAAGCTTTTCATCTGTACCTTCAACGCAGTTGGTGGAGAAGAAAGCGATGTTCCTGGTCTCCAGAGGGTTGTCGTTGGAGAAGTCCGGGGAACGAGTCTGAGGTTCTGATTCACCTGTCAGGGAGGAGTTGTCCACCTGAGGATTTGGACAACATTAGTTGATGAAGGAGCTGAAGACATGTTGAGAAAAGTAAAAAGTAACATTAGCATATTTGTTGAAGCTGAAGAAAGGATTAAAAGATGCTTTGGCAGCTCTTCTCTTCACTACATAACGCACAACTTTAGTTTGTATGTTTTACAACTAATATCACACCAGCTGAAGACAGATATTCCACTAGTGTTTAACAGTTCTTGTTTCATAACGGTATTTGACGCGGACCTTGCAGCCATGAGCAGAGATGATCCGGAGATCAGCGGGGATCCGGTCTCCTCCTTTAACCTCCACCAAATCTCCAAGTACCACCTCCTCAGCATTGATGCTCTTCTTCTCACCGTCCCGGATGACCAAGGCTTGCTGTGGAATCAGAGTTCAATGAGATTTGCCGTTTCATCTGCTTGACGTAGCAATTCAAGCCCGTAGAGGTGAGAAGGTCTCACCTGTGGGACCAGATTCTTAAAGGACTCCATGATCTTGGAGCTCTTGGCCTCTTGGTAGTAGGAGAAGCAACCGGTGATGATGACGACAGCAGACAGCACGATACCCAAATACAACTACGGAGGGGAGAAAAAAAACATGATCATCTCAGAATGTGACTAAATATTTAATTTCTATATCGAAGAGCTTGTTACATTATCATTTGCTGGTTCGTCTTCTGAAGCAGCCTGAATGCCGTAAGCGAGGAAGCAGAGGATGGCACCAATCCACAGCAGCATGGAGAAACCACCAAACAGCTGAAAGCAGGTCCATGTTAGCATCTGCCATTTGCACGTTTGGACATTTGACTGCTAGAACTGCAGCACACCCATGCAGTTACCTGTTTGCAAAACTTCACCCATTCAGGCGTGGTAGGGGGAGGCGTCAGCGCGTTCGGACCGTCTCGGGCCAGAATCTCTTTTGCTCTGGAGGAGGAAAGACCCTGCAGCGACAACAAGGAACTTGTTTTAGTTGTCAGTGAAATATGTTGGCAGGCTAAACAGATGAGTGGTAATGTGAGGCTCTTTCTGATGGATGAAAACCGGAGCTTCCAGTTTGGACCTCCTTCCAAACCGTCTTCATTCCTACAAATGAGCTTTTCTCAATAAACACTGCTATTACCTCAAAAGAGGTGGTGGATTTCAGTTTGGTTGACAGGAAAATAAAATGAAATCACAATTACAGGAACAAGTACAGAACACAATCCCAAAATTACAGCATCAAGTCTTTTATAAATGCCCATTTGAAGGCAAACCACAGATTATGACCTATGAGATCAAGTTGTTGGTGTGTATTTTTTAACGATGATTATATTTTGCACTCAAACAAAGAATCAGTAGTGTAGAAGGAAGTGTTCTCTCTCCCCTATTAGTAGCCTCAACGTGACTAGCCTTTCTGCATAAATGAAGTCTTTGTTTTGGGAAAACTTAAACAGATCAGGTTTCAGCAGATTATCAGCAACAGCTGAGCCTTTGACCTCCGGAGGGGTCGCGTTAGGTCGCAAACAAAGTAAGCACGGATATAAAGTTGACCTCTTTTACCAAAAGTAGGCTACAAAATGTTTTTCTTGTATTTCCTCCTTCACAGCAGCAGAGACTTGACATATTTAGTTACAAAAACTAAATTTAGTCCAGCTCTCACACGACTTACTCCGAATGCTTGGAATATCACAGACAAATTTCAGTTTAATTAAAATAAGGCAAACATGGAAAAAGATACATATATCAAGTAGTCTCTGCTGAAAATGTCAATCTACTCACTAAATAATTATCTGACACTATCTAAACTAAAGTCCTCGTGTTCTTTGGTAGCATTTTTGTTCAAATCTTCAGAATCTTTATATTTAACTGGATATCTGTGAAATTCGCTGACTGGCTAGGGCCGATTAGCTGTGGCAGCCATCTTGAATTTGCTTGACGCTTAACAATTGGTCAAAATTTGACTAAGATCTCTTAAAGCCTGGGGCACACCAGAGGCGGACGCGCCGCGCCCGGGATTTTGAGAAGTCAAGTGGTCACAGGACGCGCCGCTGAACACTTCTTGGAAAGACGCGCGATAGTCACAACATCACGCGGGACTTGAGAACAGAAAGCGGGAAGTGACTCTATTGTTTATACGTGATCAGACTTGCTGTCGTGTTTTGTGAGACTCAGATTCATTAAAAATGGGTAAGTACGCCATTTGATTAAATATTTTAAGATCAATAGTACTTTAAAGTTATCAAAACTGCAGCTGGGTTTGAGCTGACGGTTGGGTTTGTGCCGTAAAGCCGTTCTGCGTCGTAATGTCCGTTGTAAAAAACTCCACAAAGTTGTAAACAGCCACGGGGCTTGAGATGGAACTGTTGCCCATCTTCAGCACCTCGACGCTGGGATGCAGCGCTCCCAGTGTGCCCACTCTCATTAACTATAAGGGCTTCTATTTAAAATGGTGGCGTGACGATTTGTGGCACTTCCGGTGTGACCCAGGCTTTAGATTCTTTTAGCAATACAAGAATATGTTAGAAGTGACCATTAGCTTTAGTTACACCAGATTGTAGCTCAATATCAGTAAACTTGACTACATTGTAGCCATTTTCGTGATTTCCAAGGTGTGGCAGCCATCTTGAACTCCAAAGGGCAACCTGTGCATCCAGTCAGGACTTTTTGAGTGTTACTTTTAATCTCAAATGATGATTCCTTGGTTATGTTTCAAACAGCCAGACAGAAAGTGAAGATCTAACCCGACTAGTTAGTGCTCAGAGAATGTGATTGAGATGAATCCCCTTTACCACGACACCAAGTTTAAGCCCAACATCTGTAAAACTGATTGGTTTAAAGCCATTGTTGTATTGGCTAACATTGCTTAGCTGTGGAGGACATCTTGAATTGGGCTGACTCCAAGTGGAAAACTTTCTGGGAACTTCTACAAATCCACAAAGTTGCTGATGAGACACTTTGCTACAACCACGAGTCTGATAGTGAAAATGAAATCCTGTTCTGGTATGGTTCGTGTCTGTGCTTTTGTCCTGAGCGTGTACTGTCAGATCTTCTGTTCTTATCACATACATGCTTGACAAGCAGCAACACACACACACACACACACACACACACACACACACACACACACACACACACACACACACACACACACAGAAACAGCTCACCCTGGATAGGTCTGTCCCGTATTTTCTGTGAAGTTCATCCAATGTCAACTTGTGATCGTCCTGTGGAGGGAGAGACAGCAGAGAATGAGATTGGCGGACATTGCGTCAAACAAGCTGAAATCCCTGTCATTTTCAAACCGCAGATATTATCTCCTGCGAGGATTAAATAATGTGTTGGCGTGTCCTCCAGGGAACATAAAGACAACAAAGCAAAATCTCCCATCTGATGAGGATTATGGATGCTGGCAGGCACATACATTAGTCAAACGTTTGAGTAAAAACTAAATCTGCTGACGACTGAAAACTTGCAGCCAACAATGAACTCGGTAATGCGTGGACCGGTCCAAACCCTCAGTTTGCTGCAAGTAAACACTCCAACCAGTCAGATCAATGGCACCCAGCTAACACACACACACACACACACGTTTGCTCCAGAAATCATTACTCATGCGTCTGACTCTTTGGTAGAGTTCAACTTGTCCATATTGTTTTTAAACCTTCATCTATCCGCAGAAATCACTCTATTTTTATATTAAATGGAGAAATTCAAATTAAAAACGAATGAATTCCTGCAAATGATCAACCGCAGAGGCTGACGCATTCATGTGCCCACACTGTGGCTCTTTTTTTTAACGCCTACAGTGAGTGAATGAAAAGGAGTCCATCCAATGTAATTTGGATGATCTGCAATAATATCTGACTCCCACCTTTCATCTCTGTTGTACTGTGAAACACAAAAAGTATTGTTCTCTTCATGAACATCCCAAGCAGAGATGCCCACACTGGTTCCTGTGGCAATGCGTTGACATCGGACATAAGCTTGGGCTGAAAACACCACCAGCCCTATTTATCTCCCTCTGGTGTCACTGCACCAATGGGCTGGTTTTAAAACTAAGAGGGTTACAAAATAAACAGGGAACTATGAGGGAACATATACAATTTACATAACTTTACAGCTTCTCTTTTTCTGCATTATAGTCACAAAATGTCATCAATCTATCAATAGATCAAGAGTCAATCTCTAATTTCCCTCTGGGATTAATAAAGTATCTTTGAATTGAACTGAATTTAGCCATCATTTCCCCTTCAGACTGGGCCACATTTTTCTCACCTTGCAATTTACAAAAACTAAACTGAGACTGGTCCCAGAAAAGTACGACTATTTAGTGACTAATCTTTGTTTTGAGAACTGTTTTGTTTTTTTGGTGTGCCCTTTGGATAGCCATTTAAATTTTGTCTCAAGCTGTAAGCATCTGGATTTAGAAAGTGGCAAGGTTGCTTTAAAGGTGCGGTTCACTAATTTACTCAATACATTTACAGTGGTCTCTAGTAGGAATGAATGTCTCAAGTTGTACTCTGGGGAAAAAAAGGCTCTGGTGCGCCATTTTCAGCACAGAGAATTCATCCTGAGGAGAAAGTAGCTTCAGATGACAGGAGTTAGTCATATTTTCTGATATTTGGACATCTGATTGGAGGACATTTCTGCAACGCTGATGTTTTATCTCCACAAATAACACAGGCCTGGAGGAGTTCTGCTGTGTGGTGGAGTTGCTAATGCTAATGGTTAGCTTCTACTAGTAGAGACGTTCTCTGCTGTTTCCTGGATGCTAATCCAACAACAGCATTCCCCATCACGAGTCATGATGGGGGAATCCGTGAACGTTAACTGACATTGTGACGTAGATCTGTCAGGCTTTTCAAATCCTAGAGCAGGGGTCATCCACTCCGGTCCTCGAGGGCTATCATCCTGCACATGTTAGCAGTTTCTTTGCTCCTACACACCAGATTGAAATGAATGAGTAATTAACAGGCCTGTGCAGAGTTAAGGAGAGGATAAAAGCCCTCCATTCAGGTGTGGTGCCTGGCAGGATGATGCCCCCGAGGACTGAAGTTGGTGGCACCTGCCCAAGATTTTCCCTCTATTTTCTATCTAAAGCTAATGTAGGAGACTATTTTCATGTTCAGCCTGCATGAAAAACTCAGAGTGACTGATTATAATCGGAAATAATCAGTCAAATGTTTTTTCATTGTTCTACGCCTTTAAGCCAAATAAAAAAAAATTGTATTTTTTAACATTGTGTTTATTAAACGTGCATTTCTGTTACAACTATTGTGGCCATGCGTGCAGCATTCTCTTTGAAAGTTAGCTCTAGTGCTTATTTCCATTAGCATTAGCACCTTGAACAAATGACGTAAAAAATTACAGATTGGAAATGAACTCATCCACTGTCCTAAAAGCACTCAGACAAAATATGTGTTATTACGGTGGTGCTGGCCCCCACAACGGACTGTTATTGCAAAAGGCATGCATACCAAATGTTCCATGAATAATATGTTATCACACGCCCTAAACCAGAATGGCTCCTTAAAACTGGTAGCTCTTTTGAAGCTTGCAGAGGACACTCACTGCTTTGCTTTCATATTACGATTGTTTCTAGTTGGAGCTGAACATGGACTATTCTTAGCATTTACTTAAAAAAGTTTTGCACATATAATAAAATATCTGAGTGTTAGATGTTACTATGGGAATATTAAGTAAGTCAAAGTTTATTTATACAGCACTTACTGTGGAAAACAGCTCTTACTGTTGTCATCTGGACCTTGAGGTTAAGACTTAATCGTGTAATTGGACATTTATCATTAATGAGTCAGCTAAATTTGTTCACTTTTACTATCGTTTTTCCACGGTTCAAAGGGCCACCATCGTTCAAGCTACAGCCGAAGGCTCATCAGTATTTGGTAGTAACCAGTCATGGTATTTAAAAAATATTTTTTTCTGAATTGTAAAGCTTTTATGGAGAAACATATGAACCAAATTGGTGCAAATGATATAAGTATAAGTAGATTGGCGATATGGTTGCCATGGCATTGAGATGTCCTTCAGCAGCGGCAGGACTTTGAGATCAAGTTAAAACATTCAAAGGACAATAATCATTAATATGTCACCAAGGGATGAGTTTTATCACCCAAGGGACGTTCAAAGCTATGCGACCTGCAGGATGACATTGGGCAAAGTTAAGTGTTTGGTCTTTCCAAAAATACCAAGAAAGCAAAGATTTAATGCCATTTTTTGACATTTAATAACAGTATAGTGAACTTGTTGTAAGGGAAAACATGTTAGCAACTATATGAGCTGAAATTCAGGAAAGAAATCGGAAATATCAGGTCAGAAATGAATGCTAAAATGGCGTCTTCACTTGGTCACTGGTAATGTGAGATGAAGGTGAGACTTCCACCTGGCAAACTGACCTTGTGAAGGACACTGCCATTCACATTGCTGCAGAAATCCTCCCCATCTCAGGAACAAACACTTTCTTTGTCCTTGAAATTCCAACCGTTACATTTAAAGGCAGAACGGGATCCGGGAAGTCTTTTCAAGTGGTCATGAACTTAAACCAGTTTCTCTCTGACCTTGAGGAAATGCCTTTGAGTCACGTCACATTAAGAAAAAAGCTGACTCCAGTGGAAATCGGCCAAATACACATCCACTCATTCGACTGACACGCCCATTTAAACTCTACTGAGTCCAAACCTGCAGCTTTGTATGCATTAAAGCATGTGAATGCAATGCTAAAAGTTCTAGATGTGTCATTAGAAATGAAGAACAATAACAGCAATCTGATGAGGAAATATGATGATATTGTTGGTGGAGGAATGGAAACCAACCAACATCAGCATGTCTTAGGAGGAAATTACAGCTGTGAACTATTTAATAACATGTGACTGCATATGCAGCAGTGTGAGTAGCAATCTTTATGAAATGTGGGGCAGACAGCTACATCTCATGTGACTATCCATGAGGTTTGGTACTGTATAATTGCTGCGACCAAACACAGTTAACGCAAACTGAACTGGAATTCAGGCTGAAGCAATTTACAAAAGTGTTTTACTCACCAGATCGACTTCCTTCTTAAGTTCGTCCATGTCCTTCTTCTGTTTCCCTTTCTTGTGCTTCTTGCCATTGCCTTCTGACGTTGCAGCCAGTTTGTACTCATCTTTCCCTTTCTGGGTTTGGAGAGAGTGAGACAAAACAAGCCTCTGAATAAGATCGAACACGTGGGGGAAGACTGCTCTGTCACAAGGAAGTGCAGAAAGCGGTGCCCTCTCTGCTGATCAGACACGATCTGATACCCACGTTAATCATTACAGGAAGAACGGTTTCTGCCACCAAAGTTGACACAATGCGGATTCCGAAAGGACACAGAAATTTGCGGGGAGATCTAGACAATGTTGAGCCTAACTCAATCTGTGACAGAAAGCTTGCCTTAGACAGCTCAAATCATGTGACAAAGGTCCAATACTTACTCCTAACCCCATGGTTGCAGTGCAGGTCTGAGAGCAGTCAATCCAATTGTCGATTTTAAAAACTTCCCCACTCCGCCTCTTTCTTTTTCACACGCACATATACACACACACACACACTCTCAGCCCTGTTGTCTTCCTCACTCCCAGAGCGGAGAGGATAGTTTGCTTTGCATTAGCATTCCTTTATATCTACAGCTGGAGGCCTACCTGCCCTGCGGAGGAGGAGCTTGGGGGAGGGGAAGGAAGGTGAAACTCAACAGGTGAGTTGAATGGTGGGTTACTCAGAAAGTAGGAGTATGGGAGTGACTTGCTCTGCACTTCCCTGTTATGTTCCTTCTGCTTCCCACATTCTGCCCTTTCTTTCGCCTTGAAGCTTCCCTTTTAGTTTCTCTGATTTAGTCCTCTCTTACAGATTTAGTGCTGTGCATCGTGAAATCTCACATTGGTGAGTTTACACAGCCAACAGGAACAATCAGAAAGAAAAAAAACCCAGTCAAGATAGCTGAGCTGCGAATGTGAGATAAAGACAAAGCCAGAAATGCGAAAGTCCACTTTTGAGAGGCGACTGATAAGTGTGCTGCATTTCAAAAACAAAGAAGGTGGGAAGCTGGTGGAAAAAGAGCTTTTTAAACGGTGTGAGAGTGAGAACGTTAGAAGTAGGCCGGACAAAACTGTTACTCATAGCAGAGATAGCATGTGGAATGTTGAGGGAGTAATTCACTGAGCGCTTAGCTAAGGTCAGTGTGTCCTGCTAAGTAAAAAAAAAAAAAAAACGGCATTGGCTTTTTTTTTAAACTCAGAAACATGTTCATAACGCTACAAAAATGTCCCTGGCTTTGTCGAGGATTAGTATTTGTTAACCATTTGTAGAAAAGACAGAAAAAGGTCAAGTTTAGCTGAGTTTGGGGCTGAGTTCAAGTTCTGCATTAATAGTCGGCTGGAGAAGAAGGTCCCGCCTCGGTGCTCTTACGGTTACCAGAAATCTACAGCAAGGACATATAGTTTAACCGAGACGATATTAATGATTGATTGAGCAAAACGATTTCTTCACTGTGAACAAGTGAAAAGGTCTCTGACTGCCGGCTTCCTTTAGAAAGCCTAAAATGCAAAACATTTTGTTCGGAGAAATGCAAATGTAGATATTTCTGTTCTTTTTTTTCAAGAACAAATCAGCGTTCCCATGAGGCAAGACCAAAGGACGCCGATGACCCTGAAGAAATCAAGAAGTGCTCTTCCTGTTCGCTCAAACTCCCAAGGAGGAAGGATTACCCTTGGAGGCTGGGAGGTGGGGGTTGTAGGGATTGTTTGGAGTAAACTTCCAACTGTTTGTGCTCTGCTATGCAGGGAGGAGGAGGAGGAGGGTTGTAAGTGATGTAAAAAACGGGAAGGAAGTGCATGAGATGAATGGGAGGAATGTGAAATAGCAGAATTAATGTGGATGAAATGTGAAAATGTACCAGAAAAAAGTACATTCAGCCTATCTACTGCGTTTTTCTATAAGTACAGTTAAGTCCTTGGGAAGTTTGCCTCCCACGCTGAAAAGGTGTCATTTTTTTTCACAAATAAAACCAAACAGCAAATTATGAATAAGCCTAAGTGAATTCCTTAAGCCTCTTCATGTGACTGACAAAGTATTAGTTCCTGTCATTAGGACCATATAGGTGTTTGTTTAACCCCAAACAGAGTTTTGCCGCATATAAACAGCGTGGGAGCTGAGAAGGTAAAACGTGGCCTTAGCAATGTCACCGTAGTGGAAGGTACAAGGAGTAATAGTGATGTTAGTAGAGGAAACATTACGAGCATGTGACACGCTGTTGATGTCGTGTCATAGTCACAGTGGTGTGAGATTTAGCACTAGTAGTAGAAGAAACGGTTGATTCATTGCCTCTTTCAGGTCAGACCAGTTGCTTGAATATACAGTTGTGATGCATTTAACACATCCATCCATTTTCTGAACCCGCTTGTCCACTTGGGGTTGCGGGGGGGGGGGGGGGGGGGGGCTGGTGCCTATCTCCAGCGGTCAATGGGCAATCAGGCGGGGTAACCCCTGGACAGAGAGAGCCAGTCCATCGCAGGGCAACACAGGGACACACAGGACAATCAAGCGCACACACACACACACACACACACACACACACACACACACACACACACACACACACACACACACACACACACAAGGACAATTTAGACAGACCAATTAACCTAACAGTCATGTTTTTGGAATGTGGGAGGAAGCCGGGGTAGCTGGAGAGAACCCACGCATGCACAGGGAGAACATGCAAACGCCATGCAGAAAGATCCCAGGCAACAGCTCTAACCACTGCGTCACCCATTTAATACATTTTAGAAACAAAATCCAAAATTAACTAAGTAAACATCTAAGTCGAGACTTTAGGTTTTGTTGTACAAACTGTACAAGTTGAAAGAGAACCAAAACTGAAAAGGAATGATACAGCTGCTGCCATTGGCTCATGAAGGTCACCATGGGAACCAGACACCTCCCTCTCTCACCCACTGACAGAAAACGTAGTATGTGACAGGCAGGAACACTGACTATAAAGTCAGCCTTAGACATATTATTGTGTGAAAACCGGAAGTTGTTTTTGAAAAATCCTGGAACTATGAGCAGGAAAAGTCTCAACGACCTTTGACGTCTGCAGAGTCCTGCAGTTTTCACTACAGCCTAAAAGGGGCATTTCCTTTTATTATTATTATTATCATTTTAAAAAACAACAGTTACTAAGGGCCTCCCCACTGGTTGAAAGTAATATTATAAAAGTGGTAAACAACCCTGATTGCAGCCTTTTATAGCTACAGCTAACAACAAGATATTGCTAACACTAGCCAATTGATACTGAATAAACAACGAAGTAAGAAGATTCACACTGTTGGACAAAAAAATTAATGCTTCCAAGTCCGGTACCAACAAAGCCAGGTCACCATTAGTCCATGATTTCGTAGCTTTATTTAGCTTCCTCAAATGAGTGTAGGCGGCACTGATTTTCACTCTGGTTTTAGCTCTTTACTTTGCCTCCAAAGACATTACTGTCCTACTTTGTCTTCCAGGCTCTGACATGATACCAAAAAAACTACAACTAATTTTTCTTGTGCTTTTTATTGATAGTCAGCAAACTGAAAAAGCTAACTGCTAGCCTTTATATTAGCTACTGGCACAGTAAACAGCTATTATCATAAAGCAGGTAGAGGCCTTCCAGTAGTGTGCCTACCGAAACCACAAATCTGTTGAGTGCAATTTCTGGTTGGCTGTCCAATGTGAAGTTGCGCAAGTTTATAGCTAAAGACCACTGAAGCCTGGGTTTTAAACAGCAACCCACCGATTACAGGGCAAACTCCCAACCCCTGAGCCACCGTTGCTCTGGAAGTATGAACAAGTATGTTTCTAAACCTGAGAGACACAAAAGATAAAAATGTTCTATATTTTGACATATTATTTGCTTTTCAATTAAAAAATGGTGGTCAGAAGGGTTTGTTTGCAAAAGATCTAAAAATCTTTCGACAGTTTCATAGTTTGCGCACGGCATCACTGACTGTCATCTCAGAGAGATCAGTAAAGTAGGTATCACTCCAAAAATAAGAAAAGATTTCTGAACTGAATAGTAATGAATGGTCTTTGATGCTGACGTAAAGGAATAACTATTTCAGAACAACAAATTTTGGCAACCTATTGCTACAATTAGAAGAATTTACCGTATTTTCCGGACTATAAGTTGCACTTTTTTTCATAGTAGGGCTGGTCCTGCGACTTATATACCAAATTATGTATACCGCGCTGCTCCGGACCAGGAATAAGCTCCTCTGCTCTGCCATCACCTGCAGGAGCCTGTGGCAAGCTGCTGCAGGCTGGTTGTTTATTCTGTTATTGTTACCGGTACTTGTCTTGCAATGTGAAACGCTTGGTCTCAGATTTTGTAAGAAAAATAATAAAATCCCCCCCCAAAATGCGACTTATAGTCCAGTGCGACTTATATATGTTTTTTTTCTTCTTCATTATACATTTTATGGCTGGTGCGACTTATACTCCGGAGCGACTTATAGACCGGAAAATATGGTACTTTGAACTGTGGAGGCCAACGTCAAGGTGAGTTGATTCAAACACCAGGAAAACTTATTTTCACTGAAAACCCAATTTTTAAGGATTTTTTTTTCTGATTACGATCCCACCATGAAACAATCTGAATGTGAAAATAGTCTCCTACACCTATCTCCTGCATTAACTTCTGATAGAAAATCGATGGTCAAACTCTAGGATTAGAAAATCCTGATGGATCTAAATCACACTGTCACTTAACAATAATGGACTCATCCATCTTGAAACAAGACGGGGAAGGCTGTAGTTGGTTTAGCGGCCTGGAAACAGAAGAGAAAGTCTCAGCTAGTAGAAGCTAACAATTAGCATTAGCAACTTCACCACATAGCAAAAATCACCCAGGCTTGTGTTATTTGTGGAGATAAAACATCAACGTTGAAGAGAAAACAGAGTCAGTGGTGGAGTCACGTCATGTTGTTGTTACCCAATCAGAGGTGAGATGTCCAAATATCAGGAAATAAGACTCCAAAACCTGCCGTCTGAAGCTCAGCTATGATGTGGGCCACTGCTAGTTTCTAGACGCACTGGTGTATTTTTTTTTCCAAATAACGACTTAAGGCCTTTAATCCTACTAGAAACCACTGCAAATGTATTGATTAAAGAGCAAGTCACCCCAAATCAACATTTTTTACTGACAAACTATATCAATGAGTGTTCAATCACACTGTAGACATATGCAGTCAATAATTTGGCACTTTAGTGTATCTTAGTTAAAATTTAAGTATTCTGCCTAAAACTGTCAGTGTTGCGCCCTCTTCAGGTAAAAATTCTGCACTACATTTACATTTAAATCCACCATCACTATTGGCTAAGAGGTACACTATGACGTTAGCTGGTACATTATGATGTCACAATGTTGTTGTGAGCCTGTGTGTTTGTGTGTATTCGTTAATGGCTCCGCCCTCTCGGTCTGCCAGGCAACAGAATTTGTTGCATTTTTCAAACAATAAGTGGGAGTGGAGTATGATTAAGGGGTAATTTGCTCAAGTGATCCACACCTTTAACCTTTTCTGTTTCATTTTAACTCCTCCAATCACTGTTTAAT